GCTTCCTCCTCTGCTGTCATTCTGGGATCTGGCTGTCCTGAACACCTGGGTGCATCCCCTAGTCGGGATGCAGAGTCCCACTCCCTCAGCATGCATGCTCTGAGTGGGAGAAGTTGTGTGCCTGAATGCATTGGCCAAAGTGCTGATGATTGGCAATAGCCAGCTCTTGGAAGGACAATTATGAAGATGTGAGGTGAAAGGGAAAGGCATAAACCAGTAGAAGCAGGATGGGAACCAGCAGCTAATACTCACAGCCCAGTTTTGTATTGGACAGGGCTGAATAATAAGTCCTGCCAGCCTTTGTGCATCAACCAAGAGCTCCAGTGCTGTGCAGGTGATGTGGGTCAGTGATCCCCAAAGAGGAGATGCTCTTATCCCTCCACTTTTCAGCAGAGCTATGTTTCTTGTTAAAATATTAGCAAGCATTTGCCGTAGGAAACTCACAGAACTCACAGACACAACCAGCTCTGGGTGAGCCCCACTGGCACCACTGTTTCCTTGCTCTGTAAGCAGCAACCTCAGGACGTTTCAATGCAAACGGTGCTTCATTCGTGACCTTGGTGGCTTGAGCCAACAGCTTCCCCCCTCCACCAGCTGCACTGTGGGCACTGCTGCCAGCCTTGGGCCCGGCTCATCACTCGAAGCCAAGTTACTGGAGAAATGGCAGCAGGAGAAATGACAGAAGGAGACAGGCTGGAGCATGGAGAGCTGCAAAATACCTGAGCCAAACCTGACGCCAGAGGAGGGGCAAGGACTGTGCCCAGGGAAATTTCCCAAGCACATTGGCAAGTTGTTCCAATAAAGCTGCAACCTGAGATATCCAGGGTGAGATGTGGGAGTTCCTGGGAAAGATGGGAGCCCTGGGTGAGACTTTTCTTGGCTGATGCATTCAAGAACATGGCTGGATGCTCAGGGACTGAACACCCAGGGCTCTCTTGTCCTGTCCAAACCAGCTCCATTTCAGATGTGGGAGTCTGGAATGATCCAAAGAAGCTGAATCCCAAAACTCATTGAGACTAATACTGAAGATCTGCAAGCTGCCAGGTTCATTCAGCAGATGGTGTTCATAGCTGCTGCCTAAGCAGGAGCAGGAGAGCTGGTCAGGTTGGGGTTGTTCCTGGCAGCTCTGTACTGTTTTCTTAGTCAATAGCTGACAAGTGCTGGGGGCTATGAATTGCCAATACAACATTAATGAGTATGTAAAAAAAAAATAAAAACAACAACAAAAACAACAAAAACACAGGGCTGAATTATTTGAAGTGTGTATCTGGAGAGAGAACACCGAGGACGTGCAGACACCCACCTGCAGCAGCACAGCTCAGGGGACACCCACAGACTCCTGCAGGGCTCAGACTGTCTGCCTTCTATAGGTTATTCTTATGCCTAAGGAATAGGGGAAAAGGCACAGTACATGTGGAGCCAAACCTGGCTCAAGTTTTGATGGTCTTGTAGCTCAAATCAGGGAATTCATACTAAAAACACCTGAGGACAAGGCAAGCCCAGTCCTGTGATTCCACAGGCAGGTCAATTGGAAGCCTTTGATTTTCTCCTGGAATGTCAAAACTTGTATTTGCTGGGCTAAGCTACCATCATGACACCATCTTACTTTGGCCCTGACCACTAAATTTAATGCCAGAAATAGAGAAATGCCTATGAAATAGATAGACAGGACTCAGGGTGAGGCTGGTTGCCAGACTGGGACAGGACTGAGCCCATTTCTTTGAGCAACAAGTGGTGGTGGACAGGGGACCTCATTGCACCAGGTGCTGGCAGGTTGCTGGGCACGAAGATGCAAGTAATGGGATATGCACCATGAAGCCCAGCACCATTCTCTACTTCCCCTCCTTCCAGGAATTCCCTATACATCAGTTATGGCTGATGTCAGCATGATGATCTCTGAATCATTCAACTAATTGCTGTCACTTGAGGACATTTACGTCACAGAATCATGGAATCATTAAGGCTGGAAAGACCTCCAAGGTCATCAAGTCCAGCTGTCAATCCATTACAACTATGTGCCACTTCTACATGATTCTTGAACACCTCCAAGGGTGCTCTGGATGAGGTCTCCTATTTTCAGTGACCTTGGAAACTATTTACAATTGTGGGCACTGCTGAATCACGGCCTGAAACTCTGATTGACCACCTGAGGCGAGCAATAAGTCAGCCCTGGGAGCACAGGTGGAGGCAATTCCTGTGCACAGGCAAATACCTGTGCTACCAGAAGGGGTGCAGCCTGGCTCCATCTCTTCTGGACCCCATTAAAGAGCTCCCAGTGGGGGGGGAAATCTCTTTTGGAGGTTGCTCCTCTTGGAGTCTTCTGAGCAAGCCCAGGATAAGGGTAAGCTTTCTATCCATCATCCGTTCTTCTTTAGCATGATAACCTGTTTAACCTAATTTCTTGTATATTTCTTAATTATAACATCTGTATATTCATTGATTATACATGCTTACATAGTTTCACATCTGCACTTCTGAATATTGTCAGTTCCACGAGGAATTAACAGGCTTCTGAAAGCTCGCTTGAAAATATTCAGCCCCATGTGAGGTTGGAGCATTGATACAAGATAGATCTGAGCCACTTCTTCTGGAGGTAAGGTCAGAACTGGGTGGTAATAGATGTGTTTGCTAATACGTGAACAGCTACAGGTATCTTATGATGTGTATCTACAGAGATATGCATTGCCTGTAATTCAGGAATAATTTATTCAAACAGTTTATTATATAAACTGTTGTTTGAGCATATAAGATCTTTCTGTTGATCAAGTCAAGAGGAAGACTTGGCTTGTGCTCAAGCATTTAAGCTGGAGAAGTCCTGTCCCAGCCCTTCTCCCCAGTGATGGAGTGGCAGAGGGGGCTTTGCACAATGGCCAGAGTGAGGCAGGCTGAGAGCCAACTGATTTGTTTTCCCCAGGCTTTATTTCAGCATCTTGGAAGGTGAGCATATGCATGTGCTGCGCTTCTTGATTCAACTCCTTCCACGCTATCTTTTCAGATATCAAGCACCAAAAATTAATATGCACTGGCAACACACCAGAAACGCTGTCAGGGAACAGACACTGTGGATGGTGGCTTTGAGACAAGCTCATCTATAGCTCATTATCTGATTACAATGAATATGGGCAGCAGAGCGCTGAAACACTCCTCATCTCCTTCCCCAGCTCCCAGCATTCAAAACACTTGACTTCGGTCTCAGAAAACAATATGCTGCCCAAAAATAATGAGATTTTAAAAATTAATAAACCTCGGCTCTATTTATTTGCTTTTTTTTTTT